TCCAGTCTTCATTGTCACACGTTCGCTTTCAGTGCCATTAGGCTAAAGTTAGCATTTTCCAAGATCTCCTACCGCACCTTTAACAGCAGCTTTGTCCTCACTTTCTTTTCATAACACTGGCCTCTAGTTTTCAGTCTATAGTCTATATTTTAGTATATAGTGTCGTTTGACTCATAATTGCACAAATCAGATCATCTCTTCAAAGAACGGCACACATATTTCCTTCAGCTTTACTGAAAGACCTATTTCAGAAACATTATTAAATGGTATGAAACAGAAAACAGAGGACGCGCCACAGTGAGATTGGACACTTTCATAACAGCTAATATACTTAATAGCCTAATCAAAAACTCCCTATGCCCAAAACAATCTAGTTTAAATTCTCACAGCCGGCTGAAATATAAACGGATACATTTTAGATACAATTATTCTTCACAATGTCAAAGGAACATTTTACAGCGAATGCAATCAGCCAGTGCGACATCAGTGATGCACTTGTGTTGTCTAAGAAATTATGAGGGACATTATAAAAATGGAGACGCAAGGTTCATGCCGTAAACAAACAATAAAACTAAATGTAAACATTTTTGTTAATTGAAAAGAGACTGGAATTGTAAAAGCAAACATAACTAAAACATGAATACAATACAACCTGATATAAAATTATAACCATGACCTATTTAAGGTATGAACAATTGCCTTTAAAATCGGACAACTGCATGGAAATCACTCTGAACAGAATAAAACAGTAATGTCAAATCATGTTAATGCTATAAATTAATGATTTTTTTTGTTCAAATTAATAAATTTAACAGCACTGTTCAAGCATAATGCCCAACATAGATTCAAACTAACACTACACCAATGCAAAAACACCAAATAAGGTAATAAAAAAGCTAAAAATATAGAGTATCACACACACACAAATTATATAAATGCTTTTATATCATTTTAAATAAATTTATATCAATTTTAAATAAATTAATTAATTAAACAGGACTAATCATGTTTAATGTTATTATTTATTTTAAAAATATGACTATGTTTATTTGTTTGTTTGTTTACTTACTTAAATGGGAGTTTTACTCGCATAACTGAAATGACAGCATTCCCAAGATGGCCACCAAATGAAATGTGTTTGTGCAGCTCACGTTGTTGCTCCCTATGTAGAGCATCTCAAATCACTCATTATTAGGCTGTATTTCTTTAGTTCCCTATGAAGGCATTAGACAGTAAGGCAGTGCACTGGATTTCTGAACAGAACTCTACAGTACAGATCTCTTATACCCATGAAGTCAATCAATTTGACATGCATTTATGCTGAGCTTCTATTATACGACTTTAAAGGCTTAAGTACTGTAACTACAGTACAGCAATAACCATTCAAAACGTCAATGATGAAACATACGGTGGAGTTCCTCTACAATGATGTGCAAAGCCTGCCAAGACGACTGATAATGACACCGGTTCACGTCACTGGAGAATCTCTCAGTACTATTTGACACATAAATGTTTGATTTGAGCGTCTATATTAACACTACGAGGCTGAGATGAATTCTGCGAGCTGGATCAATTGATCCGGCGATATTCATTTCCTCATGCCGATTTCATATTAACATAGAAAGATTATTATCAGCGGGCTAATTTTAGCAGCTAGCTAATTTCTGTTAACACAAGGTGTTCTGAGATTACTCAAATCACTGAAACCCAGAGATCGACTTTTTACCATGCTTCTCAATTACCATATCCCAGAGAGAGAAGTGCTGGTATTATCTGCTTAAAGTCTTGAATTAATCAGAACACCAGAGACGTTCTCGCCTCTGTGATGCTGTAATGACATGTGCCGCGCTAGGCAGAAGTCAGGACATTTCTTTGGCAATAAAAGAAGATGACTTTGGGTAATAACGACAAAGCTAATGTACATATTCACATATAATCATCTTGCAATCTTGTATTTAGCATTTTGCCATGTTTTGTGTTGCATAAATGATGATTTTGATTTAAAATAGTCTGATTAAAGGGATAATTCATACAAAAATGCTCATTCTCGTGTCGTTCCAAACCTCTATGACTTTATTTCTTCTGTGGAACATAAACAAAGATGTTTTGAGAAATGTCTCAGTGTTTTTTTTTGTCCTCAAAATTGACAAAATGTTCAATGTGCACAAGATCCATTTGGTTACCAATGTTCTTTAATAATATCTTGTAAATTATGATACAATTTCATTTTTTGGTGAATTATACCTTAATGACAAGTTCCCATTGTAACAACTGGCCCCATATGGTGTGACAACATGCCCCATGATCAGAGTCAAAGTGTGTTAAATGTGTTTTTCCTGGACAATAACAGTGTCATTTCAGTGGAATCTGAAATTCTTCTATGATGCTTAATTTATGTGATTTATTGGGTATCTATGAGCAACTGAATTTATAATTAATAAATATAATTGGATAATAAATCCATATTTGGTATATGCTAAAATGTAAACATCAATATTTAAGTCTCATCATCACCTTAGCTTTTACATATACTTTTTTTTTTCATAGATACATAGTAATAGCCAGCATTCCAAAGCATCCCAGCATTCCACTCCCTGGGAGTCATATTGTTACATTTGTAACATTGTCACACTGTTACATTTGATTCTTTAAAAATAGTTAATAATTTAAAATGATTTTAACTACAATATTTGGATGATGACTTAATAAATTATGTCAAATTGTTATTGTATGTATGACTGAAATTAGTGTATATTAGTGTGTGTTATTTTGTGACAACATGCCTCTTTGTGTATTAAATGTTTTTATTTTTTTGTGTGTGTTTTTTTATACAATAACAAGCAGTGAAAATAATTCCAAGTATGTACACTGACTCACTGACTTCACAAATAAATATTCACTGATGTAAAAAGTGTGACAACTAGCCCTGATCTCCTCTGTATCCTAAAACTGTAGTGCACCCAGGTTGGATAATAAATCCATGTTTGTTATGAACAATAAAATCTTAATTTCCAACATTTAAGTCTCATACCATGACCTCAGCTTTCATATAAACATAAATACTAGACAGCAGTTGGATTTGATGGATGCATCTGAGCCTTGTCATCTTTATGACACTACAGACCAGCACAATAAACAAGCAGGCGTTCAGTAGCACATGATTCTTCCTGAGAACCAGGATGCCAAGACCCCCAGCTGCACCCTTTCACGTGGCAGCCAGTGCGACTCCTGCCAGCATGAGACAGTGCTCATTATTCCCTCTGCCAAAGCAGCATCGTCGTTGATATTCTTGTCTTGGCCTGCGAGTAGAGCAAGCATCCACAGTTCCACGTCTGTGGTCTGAGACGGGCTGAGAGAGGCTCTGAATGCAGACCGTCTTTTATTTGCCTTGGTGAATGACGATCAGAACAACTACAGAACGGCAGGTGTGGCAGCGAATGACAGGCTGCGTCGTGCACCTGGGCCGATTTGCACTGGGTGAGTGACACTGAGTCTCCCGGAGTTTCTGCTGACATTAACAAACGGTCACAAGTGAGGCTTGTTTGTGCAATTAGATATGCAGTAAGATAGGTTAGCGTGCATTCATTGCATAAGTGAGTGAATACAATTGCATTGCTCAGACAATGCAAACTGGTTATGTTGCAAACAAAAAAAAACATCCCTTCTACAGTCCAAACGTGGCCACTAAAAGCATGCTGTGGACTGATCATTACAATTGACGGATGTCATAATTTTGCATAATATGAGCAGATGAAAAGTGCATATCGACCATGTTTGATTCACTGCACCAGTAATGGGATGCATCCCGGAAAAACTCTTTAGGGCTCTCGGCTGCGCCTTTGTGTCCATCATAATCACTCAATTACCAAAAGCTTCAAAGTCAAATTTGACATCAAGCGCAAAAGTGCGAGAGCTCCCCCAACAGTTAAACGTCAGAAACACATTCACACAAGTTAACCTCCAGCTTTGAGCCTCTTTGAGCCGCCGTTTGTGGCTGAGCTGTGAAGATTTGGCCTCTTTTCACCAGCAACACGAGCTCCTCGCCACCACACGTCCGAGCTTAATGCGAGTGTGAACACTTCATATCCTTGTGCATCACGTTCCCGGTGCGATGCAGGCCGGAGGATGGAGATTGTTATGCTTTCTACTGCAGTGTGCATGTTTATTGACTTTGCAGATGCAGCAGAAAACAAAGCAGGAAACAGAAGAAGAAAGAAAAAAAAAAACAGTGTTCTTGAGTGTTTGTCCTGAATGTGCAGTTGCTGAGTAGAGACATTTCTGACTGCAAAGCGGAATGATTCATTCAGCCTCTCTGAAGACATATTAATGCGAGTGTGAACGCTTTCTTGTGCATCACGTTCCCGGTGCGATTCAGGCCTGAGGATGGAGATTGTTGTGCTTTCTACTGCAGTGCACATGTTTATTGACTTTGCAGATGCAGCAGAAAACAAAGCAGGAAACAGAAGAAGAAAGAAAAAAAAAAACAGTGTTCTTGAGTGTTTGTCCTGAATGTGCAGTTGCTGAGTAAAGACATTACTGACTGCAAAGCGGAATTATTAATTCAGCCTCTCTGAAAACATATGGTGTCATTCTCTAATAGTGATGAGACTTCATTTATGCTTTGTGCACTAATGGGCATTTAGGCTGTGAGTTGACTCAGCAGAGATATAAAAACAGCATCAAACCCCACACACATACACACACCCCAGATCTCGATCAATCCGCGTCCAAACTTGCAACAAGCAATGCGCGGACTGAAAACAGATCACACACGCGCGCGAGGGTTACTCAAATCGTCAAGCATCTGCAGTCCAGAGCCAGATTCAAATCCGTACAGGAGACCCTCTCATGCCCTCAAGAAACATCATGTACTGGCCGCGCACGAGCTCCGTGAAGTGCTGCATGTAAAAATCCCTCCAACATCCAGTTTCACAAGCACCCAACGCGCCATCGCTCACACACTCAGCGTCCAGCTCAATAAAAGCTCCTTAAAGACTCACCTGAAACTGCTTCTCCCGTGTGTCGGGAATCTGACGCTCCGCGCTGCTTTAAAGTTCTGTTGAGGCTCCGGGTCCGGCGGCGCGGCTCATGCTGCTGGCTCTGGTTCTGCTGTGCGGATGGGTCATCGGTCCCTCTCATACTCAAGAGGGAGAAATCCGGCGGTTCGGTTCACTGAGCAGCATCTGAGAAACGGTCGAGTGTAAAAGCAGAGCTGAGGAGGAAATATCCGACAGCAGTGCAGCTCCGGATGCAGAGATGGAGAGTCCGACTGCTGCTGAGAAACGCGGAGAGAAACGAGGAGGAGGCGCCGAGCATCACTTTACTGGATTGTAGAGGAGGGTGATGGCAGACAGAAAGGGGAGGGACTGAAGCACATCCAGCGTTTGGAGGAGAAATAGAGAGAGAGAGCGTCTTTATTCATTATCTGATTAGTGATATAATTTGCGTTTTATTATTTGACTTTTTTAATGGCATTCTATCGTGTTATGTGTGTAAATTTGCATGCATGCCAGAAATAAAACCGATATTAGAAAAGCAACATCCCGAGACTTGGCTTTTTTTTTTTTTTTGATGCGGATTTGAATCGTGTAGGATCTCTTTATAAAATTCGCCAAGTGCGTTACAAAAAAGGCATATGTAATAATAAAGTCCGCACATAACGGATAAACAAAGACGGAATCACTCTCGTCTTAAGCGCGTCAGTCAAACTGAGCTCGAGAGCTGTCCTTGGTGCTGAAATAAACGCTCAGTTACTGGATTGTTCCGGGTTAAATATATGCAGCATCTGCATGTCACATGCGGAGAGAAAATCATTTACATCCGCCCCTCACTTGGCAAAAAAATATCGTGTTTCAAGTAATGCGAGTCTGTTGGGTATTAAAGCAGAAATGCAAAGCTGTTTATATTATTATTATTATTAAAGCAAAAATATGTGTTTTTGATGATAATCTGGATATATGTTTATTCCCCCTTGTCCTCTCACATCAAGGTCCACCAACATATTTCTTTAGAGCTGTTTTGGCTTGTAAACGGTGCTTGATCTGTGCATACTTCTTCTCCTGATTCAGACCAGACCATTTTTTTTCACTGGAGGAAGTGTCATCATGGGTTATGGACTTGTTTCAGCTGGAAGCAACAGTTTGAAGCTAAAAAAACGTTTTAATCATGGATTTGTTTCTTACAAAACCGCAGCTTTTGGCTTCTCAATATGTTAATTGATGGACTGGAGTGATGTGGATTACTTGTGGATTACTGTGGTGTTTTTATCAACTGTTTGGATTCTCAGAGGCAGAGGATCCATTGCATGGAGAGCAAGTGATGGAATGCTACATTCCTCCAAACCTGATGAAGAAACAAACTCATCTATATATTGGATGGCCAGGGGATGACTACATTTTAATTTTTCTGTGAGCTATTCCATTAAACACATTTAATTTGTGTAGTTACCATTGTAATCGGCTTTATATAACATTGTTAGACAGGGTTAGAAAGTGATTTTATCACCTTAAGTGTTACAACAGTTAATTCCATTGAGATGGTTTTGCCACATACATTTGCATCTCTGCACAAACTATTTGTCAGCCTATTTAAAAAGAGCCAAAGAAAGTGTGTGGTCATTGACAACATGCCACAGACGCCGTCCACAAAACTAAGAGTTTATACTGAACATTCATCTAACCTTATCCACCAAAAATCCCATATGGGTTAAGTTCATGAGAAGCTTTGAACCACAGATTAAATCAGGTGTAGCATTTATAGACAAAACAGAGTTAAAGTCCAGCCGGCCTTGAAAACAGTTGGCAAACATAGGCTTTTATACTAAATCAGAGTCAGAAGCTAGACCATTATATTAAGACCTGGACCTTAGACCAGGACCATTTACTTCCAAGTATAATTTGAAGGACATGAAATAGAGAAACTGATGAATCCAGTGCAGTATTCAGTGTTTCAAATGAAATTAGATTTCAAAAATGGTGACGATACAGTGCCGATCTGTGATTGAGGTGATTATCACCTTAAGGACAATGGAAATAGACTGACATCTTGTCTGAGATGATGAAATGAAACCCAGACCACACTTGGTTTATGAGCTCGTAAGACAAGGCCCCAAAATCAAGACTCCAGGTCAGTGTTGTTTTAGAGTCACCGATATACTATTATAATTTTTTTAATTTTTTTTTTTGTAATTGTAATTTTTGATTTTTATAATTTCATTTTTAGTTTTAGATTTAGATTTTAGTATTTTAACTAGTTTTATTTGATGAATGATTTTCATGAAGTTTAATTATGTTGCTATGTTTGCATTATGTTATGTTATGTTATGTTATGTTATATGTTGTTGTTATGCAAAACAAATCTACACACTAGATACTCAAAAGCCTCATGAAAGCATAGTGAAGCAAAAAAAAAAGCAAAAAAAAAAAAATATATATATATATATATATAGTTTTTTTTCTGTGCTTAAGGAACACTGTTGTCTTTTGTCTAGAAAATATTGCATAAAGCTGTTTGATCACATAAACCATCTCAAATTATGTCTTTAATGAAACGGCACTTACAATTATGATTTATAGTTCTTATTTTAGTTTTGTTTTCACAGCTAATTTTCACCTGTCTTTATTCTTCCTGATACTTATTGGTGATAATATCACAGATATAACTGAATTCGTCTGTCTGTTGTGATCACATGTTTTTAAAGGCACTTCAGGCCGTACTGAAGTCAAGCATTTATAAACCAGCAGTTTGACACACACAGCTCACAACAGCATGAACGCGCACTTGATGTGTTAAAAACACTGACAACCCACTGATGACAGTTCGCTGTAGGTTTGGCTTGCAGATCGTTTTCAATCCGTCATAATTTCTAATTACCACAAACTCTCATGCCATTTTTATCTCAGAGGTTGAGCACAGATGAGTTTATGGACAGATCTATTTTCAGAATACACTGTTATCTGGAATAAAAGTTCAGCACATCTGATCAATGTTACGTTGTAAAGATATTTAATTTTCATGAACATAAAGAAATTCCTCTATTCTTTTTTTGCTCTTGAACACTTTGAGCAATACAGCATTTCTTTCAAATATTCGATTTCTCTGGCATGAATGGATCGCAAACCATCAAACTAAAACCCACATTGGTTTGTATTATGCAGGCGGGGCTCCAGGGCTCTGAACGTACTGTACATTTATTTTGATTCACATCATATATTCAGTAGTAGGAGACTAGAAAGAGACTGGTTTGATATGAATGACCACATGTATGCCGTGAAGAGCTTTCATCGAACACAGCCTGCCAATTTTGCCATGTGATTTGGTATTTCCTATACTCAACAAAATGACACTTTGGACCATTTGTTACAGTCAAATTAATTATTATTATTAATTTCTTATGATTAACCTCAAATTCAGTATTTAAATGACTGACTGACTGACTGACTGACTGACTGACTGAATGAATGAATGAATGAATGAATGAATGAATGAATGAATGAATGAATCAATCAATCAATCAATCAATCAATCAATCAATCAATCAATAAACAAACAAACAAACAAACAAACAACCAAATACATAAATAAATACATTTCACAAAGAAAATGTTATTTAATGTAGATCAATATAATCCTTTCTTTTGGCTTTTTACAATGTAATTTCACCATAAACAAACACTACATTTTCTGTAATGTGTAAGTAGAATTTACACTTAATATAAGACTAAAAACATTTTGGCAGCCAATGTTTAATGTTGTTTACTTACAATAAATAAAGACAGACATATTCTCTTCGAATAACCTTAATGTTTATTGTGATGTCTTTTTATTATATGTATGTATGTACTTATTCATTTATTTATTTATTCATTGGATAATATGCACAATCTTTCCTAACTAACTAACTACATAAATGTAACCTGGGGAAAAAAAATTTGCCAATTGAATAATGTGCAATTAAGGTAACTAATGTGTATGTTGTGTTTAGTGTGATTCACAACTTCCCATACATATTAATCATGGCTCCTTTAAGAGTGCTTCAGTTATTAAATGTGGTTGCAATGTACTTGCTAAAAAATGTGGTTTTGACAAGCAAGTTTCTATATCTGTTTATTTATTGGATTATGAATAGCTAGCCCCGCCTTGTAGAAATGAATCATGACTGTGATTGATAACAAGAATATGATAATTTTGACAAATAGTTGATTGGAAGAAACGTTTCCAGCAAGAAGATTCAAACACATACATACCAAATATGAATACGAACCATTAAGCTATTCAATAGTTATTAAAAATACATACACAATAAATGATTAAGACCTGATAAGTCACATGTAGGTTACATACATGATATGGAGTTATGCATGGAGATGATTAGTTGCTCAGGTCCTTTTAGTGTCATTTAGATGCATATTTACATGGAAATGCAGTTTCTGTGCCATTCTCTGAACATAAGGATACGTTCTGTGAAGACCAGAGTGGTTAAAATGTCTGTAAGGAATCTGCCTGTTCTTTGTCTTAGGTGGGGGGAGAAGTCAATCCAAAGAGCTCGTGATTGCCATCACTGGTTACCATGTGACGGTCACGCTGTGCATCTCTTTTGGCCATTATTCTTGATAACTTGCCCCAAAATTGACAATCTCCTTGGAATTGTCAATAAGTGTTCTTCTGTTTAAATGCTGTGAGCTACTCAAAGCTGCTAGTTGGTTCAGGCTTGGGGCCAGGATCTGATTTACGACATCCTGTGTCTTGGGCCTCTTGTGGAATTCTGGGCTCCTCAGGTTTCAGCCATGTTTGACCAAATCTTAGATTGTCTGATTCGGTCTGATATCCTACACTTGGCTTTTGTTAGTGTACATAACCACCTCATTTGATGCGTAGTGGTTTCTTTGAAAAACCACCTATTTTTTTTTCCTGTTCTATGTAATTGTAATATTTTATAGTTAAAGCACTGCAACATACAAAACTCAACTTACTTCAGATATTAAGCGTTTTTTAGAAGCTATGACAGTACCTGAATCTTCAACAAAACGAGAGTTCAGAAAAGAGAAGATGGCACCTGAACAGATTAATACGGTGTAGGAATCTCTGAAGCAAAGCATTGCATGTTTACTAATGCCAGTCAGTTGAGGTCACAGAATGAGATTTGGGAAGATGATTCTCCAATTATGTTATTTCCTTCCATGCATTTTTTCCCCCCTGCAACATCACAGCTAATTTTCAAGCACACAGACAGATGTCCAAACTGCCAGCAGGAGCATCCATCATGAATCGTGATGAGGGCTGGAGAATGAATATGAGTGTGGAAAGTAATA